ACGCTTCACGTTGCATCCGAGTCTGTCCATCGCAACCGTCGCCGTCACTGCTTTGTGACAAGAGGAATGACCTGTCGACAAGTAAGGTAACTGAGCAAAGCTGAAGCCGAGGGCAAGAGGCAAACACCGTCACGCATGCCACGCGGCTCACTGTCCATCGTGTCCAAGCATGTACAACTTTCTCACGACACGTCTGCCATCACATCTTATGTGACAGGTCAAGTTCTACTGCTAAACAGGCTGCCTCGATCCGTAAAATCCTCCTTGAGCTTCTCCCTAATTTCGAGCCAAATGGACAGGATTTGCAAAGTGCTAGATGGCGTTGACCTCGTAGCTGTTACTCCGACTGGTTGACATCCCCGTGTTCGCTGCGAGGTCGGGTCCTGTGTGACCGCCGACTTCCAGAGAACTTTTAAAAAACTATTCCTGTACTTTGACTGTACGTAGCCGACAATTCATCTACAGATAGTACTTTCAGAAAATTGGCCAACTTACGCCAAATCCTGTGCCTTGCCAGTGCGCCCATAGTATACTTATATCCACCTCAGCGGACTGTGCTGCTTAGCCGTTCTTGTGGCCTCCTGACAATCTTATTCCAGACTGTTACTCGCCACATCGTCCCGCCACAAAACTCGGAATTCGACTTCTCTCGTTACTTCGCTCGCGGTAAATCTTGGATAAACCATGCTGCACCGCCGCGCTGTAACTCCTTTGTCCCGATTTCACCATTGTTCACTGGCTATTGCACTTGATTTGCGCTCTTTCGGAACAAGAATGCCTTGTATCAATCGCGCTGCTCAGGAAGTGCGTTGGCGCCAGGGATTTTAATCTCAGGCGCGCATGCAGTTCTTTTTGTAGTCCTCAGCCCACGGCGTGGGCTACCCGCAGTCAACTCCCCACGCTTTCCGTTAACTCCATGTCCAATCTGGTGAACCCGCCAAATATTTGCCGGATGGTGCGTATCGACATCACTTTTCTTCGTTGTTTCTGTCTCATGCCCTTGCACAAGGGGTACCCGCCGGAGAATGCCGAGACACCGGGTAGGTGGGTGGGTGCCCCGGCCGACCTCTTAATTCACTTTTTGGACAAAGCTGCGGAACACTTCAAAAACGTGTTTGCGAGGGTCAGGGAAAATATATATATTTTTAGCACCAGAAAAGTAGTAATTCTCGGGATTAGAAAGATGTTTGAAATTTCTGCCTATTGTATATGGCGAGACTAACAGCAGTTCAAGTTCCATTGGGCTAAGCACAGCTCCGGCAAATGGATGGGTCTGCAGCAGTCTCCACCAGAGTTAGATTCGGAGATTATAGGGGTCCCATCCGTGAATATACCAAAAAACAATGTGATTGTACCAAAAACATTTTTCTTTGGTCTGAAATTTCCTTTTGGGGATGTGCACGTGACATTACGACAGTCTGTCTGTGTCTCCCAGCTGCTTAATTCACTTTTTCGACCTAGTGTCGAGGATTTCTTTTGTGGGTACCCCTTGCCCTTGCACATTCTTTTTCGCAGCCAGACTCCTGATTCCTGAATTGCGATCAAATTATCGTGTTCGGTCCCCACTCTGTGGATACCATCGATTCCGAGTGACGGTGGCGGCTGCAATGCGGTTTTCCCCATTAGCCCTAATCACTGCATTCAGACCCCTCCTTGACGCGGGACGAATCTAGCAAGTGTCTAGCACCGACCTTGACATGACTTGACGTGACTGGCCGGGGCTATCAGTCTAAGCCTTGTCAAGGCGTGTGACTAGGCGGGTGTGGCCTTAGGCGGCGCCTATGCCGGTGGCTAGACAGGGCTCCGCTAGACACCTGATGCTACGTGACTTTGACGTAAATTCTCTTGTCTATACTGCCTATACCCATCAGTCTATGAATGCAGTGAATGCATAAGTACATCGATTAACGCCGTTGCCATTGGCGTGCTTGACATTCGTTTTAGTGGCTTGGCACAAGACACAGCAACTGGGACCCAGCACCGCCTCAAAGCTCTTAGTTCCCGACCCGTCACTCGGAACTCTCTTTCGCCTCCCATCTGACGAACTCTCTATCTCTCCGCATCATGGCTCGTCGTCGAAGTCGTGGAGCTCAAAGTTCCGTCTCCTGTCCGCTTGTTTGCTGCATCCCGTTCGTGATTCTGGCATTGGTTGGGGCCGTCGTGGGGGTAGTAATCGTCATCCAAGAAACCATTGCGACCCAGAAAGAATTGCGGTCAAGGATCACAGATGATACACCCATCTCGGGATGGTACGGTCCCGGCGCGTGGTGGGGATGGCTCATCACTCTGGGGATGACCCACGGGCACAGTCTTCTGGCGATGGCGACCGCCGAACCCCTCGAGGAATGGGACTACGATCTGTTCGCCGCCTCGGGGTATATCGTCGCTGCCGCGATTGATCTGATTTTTAAGGCCAGACACATTGCACGCCTGGGAGACGCAGCCAGCGAGTCTCCGCTGCTTCCAGCCATGCTCTGTGCGGAACGAGCCGTCTCAGTTGGCATCGGATCGTCGCTATTCACAATTGTCACGGGCAGCATCTTTCACGGCTCTGCGGGCCGCCGCAGAGTGGGAATCGCGCTCGTCCCACTCATTTTCGCCCTCGTCGCCTCGTGGTTTACCTTCAGAGCACACAGGACAATTTTCCAAACCGTGCCTGTCATCTGGTGCAGATTACACGATGGTAGCACGCCCGGAAAACGCGAGGACATCCCCTTCACTCTCGTCGACTTCCCCGCTTCATTAATGGACCTTATAGGAGTCCTTCCCGATGTCTACGTATCGCGAGGTTACTGGGTATTCGCCGGCGCAGTGAGCGCGATTGTTTGCTTGGGCGCTTTGCTCGCGAGCCTCGCACGCGAGCCAAATGTGACTGCCGCACTCCGCCCGACCGCATTGGCGGCTTTGGTGCCGCTAGTGGGGGCATCGGGGCTCCCGCTCCTTGGACTGGGCTACCTTCTCGCGTTTGGAACATTCAAATGGATCGGCTACTGGGTCGTGCTGTTGGCACCGGTCTATGGTCTCGCATTTTTTCCGTCAATGGGATACTTCCCGTTGACCGGGATGTCTGTGATGGACATGGACCAGCTGGCAGGTTTACTCAGTGTTGCATTCATTGCCGCCTTTCGTAGTGGAAGACGCATTATCGCAGCTGTACATCGTTCCGCTGAATCTTCTGGACCTACACACGAACTGGCAACTCGGTCGCAAAATGCCGGTGGTGGATAGTTATGCAATCCGAGCTCGAGACGAGGAACTTCTGGTAAATCATTCCCTGGTGCTCCTAGGTACTCAAAATGATTCATTCTTGGCAGTGGGACAGTGGTTAGACGGTGCATGGCAAAGTACATATGATGAGATCTGCCTGATGTGCAGTCCAGTGTCCAAATTCAGGTGGCCATACACGCCTACTACAATGGAGAACACTATTGAGGCCCATCCCCAAGCCTTGAGAATTTTTTGGAACAAGGGCCAGGGATTAAAGGGGAGTCGGGATCATCTCCGTACAGGCATGCCGAAAACTGAATACGCTGAGGCTCTGAGATCTGCCCGCTACTGCATTCTAATGAAAGAGGGAAGCCATTAGACTATTTTTATTTTGAAACCTGACTCAAGTCTACAACAGCAATAAGTGACTCGAAGTTGACTTGTGCCGACTTCGAAGGCAACATGAGTCGCACTTGTAACTTGACTTAACTTGCCTTGAGTCGACTTCACCAGGTCGACTTGGGACCCTCCGAGTCCAAGTCGCAGCAACACTAGATGCCGCATACATACCTCTTCGCAATAGCGGGTTAATACGAGCATGCAACGGAACGCTGATTGATGCCCCGGTCATGGCTAAGGCCCTGATCGGGTGCAGCTGAAGGCTGAATCTGAACGATGGCTGTAAAATGTATATCATACGTATATGACATCATGTACTTATTGTTTGCTTATTGTCACAACTTTTTGTTGTTACGGCCTTTGGGTAGTTACGGCCCGGTAACTACCCAAAAGGGAAGGACCTCCGCAAGCGGTCGTATTCGGCTTACCAGCCGGGGTGCGCAATATTTGCTGTTGCTTGTGATAGGTTGGCATATGCATGAGTCTCCAATAATGACGCCACCAAGGGCCTGCAAAGGAATGCCGCAAGCCGCCGTTCGTTTCCCCTTTCTAAACACTGTATATTATTTGTATCAGGCGAAAATTTGCGTTGCTTCTCCCGCAGTAGTCCGAGCACTGATCGGTCATTCTTTTTGTCCACATAGTGTACATTCGGAAACAGAGGCGGAGAAAAGTGATAAGTCGGATCCTGAGAAAGGCAGAACATGTGCTTTTTTCATTGACAACGACCCCGACAGTCATGAGTTTGATGTATATGCAGATTAATACAGACACGAAAAAAATTCAAAAAATGTGTGTCCGGCTCAGGCCCGGGCATCAGGCCTGGCTCGGGCCTCAGCGGGCTTGGGCTTGGACAATCTCAAGCCCAGGCCTACTTAAGCCAGGCCCAAGCCCGGGCATCCACAGCCGCAACGTATAGCGTAAGTCCTTTTGCGTGTGCCCATTCACTGATGCAACAGAGTTATGAAGGGATTGTTGTTTTGTACCATATCCCTCACTAAAGCCGTTCTGGTAGTCAGGAATGAGGCCATAGCAGGTTGTCTGTGATGCGTTTATGAATTAGTAAAGTCAGGACCTTAAAAATACAGCTCTCGAGGGTAATGACCCTGTAGCTGTCTGGATCGGTTTTGAGTTTCCCCTTCTTCAATCACCTGTGGTTGACTCGGCGATTAACTCGGCGAGCATGTGATTAAGGTCGCATTGGGGCGCATCAAAGGATTTAGGGCAGAACTGCGGGAGGGTTGAGACGTTTCTCAAAGACGGTAAGACTCTTACTTTCTCCCCGCACTTTCAAGCCCATATTAGTGAATGCGTGAACTCCTGGCGGAGTGTGGCTCGGGGACGAATGATCTTGAATCATTTGACAACAATTTTCTTGAAGGTGCTTATAAGAGGACACTATGGCTCAGTGGTAGAGCATAGGATTGCAATGTTGCCCACATTATCCTGGGGTCCCGCGTTCGAACCGCGGTAGTGTCTCGTTTTGCGGCGGTTTTCGAGGCTTATGTCGCCCGTATTGTCTATTCGCACTGCCTCGTGACTCGATCAATTGACTCACACCAGATAAAGCAAAATATTACTTTTGGTCAATATGTTATCTAAAAGTGTATAATTCAGTAAAAGAAATAAAGTTCGAAATAGTTGATCTATTTAATTCATTTGATAAGTCGAGGTGAAAGAATTTTTCGAACTCGGTTTGCATTAGCGGAGGGCGGGTCCGATGAATCAGAAGTAATTCAGACGCACATCACGGTAAGCCACATCTGAAACGACAAACATCAGAACGGCAATTAATTGTAACGGCTGCGCAATGCCGAAGTTAACAGTATTTCAATAGCAAATATGACGATGACGCAAGACATTTTATTGAGATCACAAAAATTGTGCACTCCAAGACCCATACCAAAAGTAGCGGGAATTTCTCCTCTAAAATAGACTTCAGTCACGAGTCGGGGTGCTCTACGCAGACGCCTTGCAGACACCCGTTATTTTAAATCTCCGAAGGGCGCCCTCTTGTTTTATTTTATCCTACTCTTCATAAATGTCTGTCTGAACTCTGAAGCCTTTGACGCTGTGGTAGGGTAAAATGGCCCTGGTTTGGAAGCGTAGGATTTTTACTATTATATTTGTACTCTACTTTATCACGTGTTTTGATTGTTGCTTTGTTTTGACATACGGAACGTTAGAAAATATACTCTTGACATCGTACCACTCCGTCGCCGTGGCCAGTGCAGGGCAAGTGCCCAGAAGAGCATCGACGCGCCTCCGCCCCTCGACTTCCGAAGCCACCAGTGGGCTCTTCAGCCACCCAACACGCTCGTTTCGCACCGCCGACTTCTCGGCTACTTTTGTGACTTTCGTACCTTGATTTCGACGCGTTTTCTCACTCTACGGCTCGGGGACCTCGTGACCGCGCCCTTCCGCGAACTCAACCTACCACCTATTCTCCTTTTCCGGACCACCGACCTTTTCCCCGACCCAAACCACAGGCAATCTCCCCTTCCACAACGCCCTTTTTTGGTCATTTGTACCGGACGAGCTCCCTTAGTCATTGGACAGCGGTAAATTACTGGACCATTTGAGCCAGTGGGAAGCCGCCACTAGGCCATTTTTGCGATCATTGGACTCTGCTTTAGGACCAAAGACAAGGTCTGTCCAGAGATAGGAGATTGCCTTTGCCTGCTCGTGCCAGTATTTGGACACGGAAAGCAGGTGAGACTTTGTCTTTCTTGGAAGATCTCGCCAGATAACGGTGAAGATCTCTGGTGCCAGGGATGTAAAATCGGTGCACTGGAGAAACAATGGTGACATGGCATGTAAAAAAGGCACATACCAGATAAATAATGAAGTGATCGCAAGCGCAGAAACAAGTCGGAGGCAAGACACTGCATAGAGAGGGTGGAAGTAGGCATTTCTCTATTTTTGCTGGACAGTACTCAAAAAAAAAGCATAATACCACTCACTTGGGCCAAGTCATTTGGTGTAGCGGATGTGGAGATCCGTAAAGATTGGGCAGAAAGGTGATACGGGCCAGACAGAAAGTCAGCGCGGACGGGACAATAATGCATTACTGTGTAAGCCGAAAAGCAGTCCCAGACTGACATTATTGTCATACGTTAGAGAGAAAAAAACTCCCTACAGATGGATTCAAACACCTCACCTGGAAAGCAAATGGACAGGGTACGGAGCTAAAGACAGATTCAGTGAGCTGAAAAGTGTCAGGGGTGATCCAAAGTGAATGAAGAAAAGCTTTGAGACCTCAGGATTGAAAATAAAGCAAGTTCTCTGCCTGAAGCAGACCCACCAGAAGATCACCAGAAGATTTCCTTTTGCGTGGCTAGGCGTAGTGGCCAAGGGGGGTGTTAATACTTTCCCCAGCCCTCCAAAGACCACCGGAACACTAGACATGTGCCATCAGAGCCTCCTGCGCCAGGGGGGGCGGTCCCGATAAAGAATGGAGAAAGCCGCGATGTCGGGGACAAAGCCGCAATGTCCGGGACATAAAAGGAATCTCACATGACATTGCCCATTTTTGCTATAACTTGAACCAAAACCCCCTCCCGTAAACTCGACGGTAATACGACGAAAACAGCCCTGCTAATTTTTTAGCGCTAAATTATTTTTGAATTGGGCGCGTTTGCTGGTAATCCAGGGACAATTTTTGAAAGATACATATGATACATGGGGCCAGAGTTCAGTAGACATACAGAACGAAGTCTGTTACAGGCCATATATCTGAGGCGTCATGCCATCCCTACCACGTGTGGCAGTGAGCACGACTTCCCATTCGAGAGTAAGATCGACCGTGCCCTGCGCCGGGAGCGAACAGAGCCAACTCAGGTTGCGGCTAGAGTGCGAGTGGTAGCCAGCCGTCGAATAATCCCATTGGGCGATGACACTTGCACCTTCTGGTGCGTCGAGCACAACTTGTTTGTAGTTGTCCACGAGCGGCTCTGGCGGCTGCCGTGAGATATATCGCTTGGGTTTGCTAATCAGCCCCAGCGCAGCTCCGAGGCGACGCAGTACTCCACCCCCATGGTGCTTCACATTAGAGCTTTTAAACACAGGGAGTGGGAGCGAAGGGTCGAGGAGCTTCACGCGGATTTGGGCGTCGTTCGCCAAGGGAATCTGGTCCACTATCTTCAAGCGTGTAACTGGGGTGCTGAAATGATCGTTATGCACGGTGATGTGCTGCAAGTATCGGTGGTGCTTGGCTGGATGGGATTCAGGACTGTTGCGTTTGAAAATACTGGATCTGGCCTTCGGAGGTGCCGGTGTAGTTGTCGTGGATTGAACAGGAGGATAGGTGATTTTAACGGAAGTGTCGACGCTGCGGAGGGGGTCTGTTAAGGCCGGAGTCAGTGTCAAACAATTCCACGTACCCAAGCGGACACGAGAAACTCTCATTCAGCCCCAGCGCGGGCACATGGCGCAACGACACGAACTCGCCGTCGAGGTACACGTCGGCAGGACCTCCGAACGCGAGAAACGCGTCTTCTACTGACACACGGGTGATTTCCGCCTGCGAACAGAGCAGAGCTAAGCGGAGCATCGTGCGAAACAAAAAAATGCGTACGTTAAGATTCGCGTGGTTATTGACCTTGGGCGCAGCGACCCACGACATCTCAGCACGCGGAGTGGCTTGGCACACGGTGAGCGTTTGTGGCGCCGCGCCTGGCAGCGAATTGCTAGGAATCGTCACCAAACTCGGGATGCAAAAAAGGGTGAATGGGAGGTCTTTCGTGTACGGCGTTGGGACTCTGGGGAAGCCTCCGCGTGGAAGCTCGTACCACTGATCACGGCTTCGGCTTGAGCTCCGGCTTCGGCGACTGAGGCTTCGGTTTACGCCGCGCTGGTATGTGGCATTGAGCGGCGGGATACTCGGCATGTAAGGCATAGCCGGGATAAACGCGGGGCTCGCCGGGCGACTGATCGCCGAGATGGGAGTGGGCGAGGCAGCGCCTTCCGGAGTCCACATCAGCCCGAGATCCCATGGTGGAAGGTTTGGTTCACTCCCCACCATGTTATCGGCGGTCGCGAGCGTGAGCGGCACATCGGTCCATGCCTGACAGAGGTGAGCATTCGATGATATATCTGGCATGCGGGGAGGACAGATGAGCTTGGACCTACCTCACCGGTGCTTTGCTGAACATCTGCCTTGAATGTAACAGCTACCGACGGGGATTTAGCCTCTTTGGTATCCACGTTGGCGTTCATGTCCACGCGGATGTCATAGCGCGCGTGCCAGCTAGCGCAGAACACACCTGCATGAGACATTAGATTCAATTCGTGCGACGCAAATATAGGTTGATGCACCATAGATGAGCGTCATTTGGACGTCCTCCGCCGTTTTCGCGAATAAACTGAGCGCCACGGAGGAAGACAGAGTGTCGTCTTCGACACGGCGTTTATTCAGCCTCACGCGCTCTTCCTGGATGTCCTTGTCGAGCTTCGCGAGCTGCTCGTTAAGTTCCGTGCGCCTCGTATCGACTTTGTCACCTGCGGATTCGTACTCCCGGATGGTGCCTGCGAGCTCTGCAGCGGGGAGGCCTTTCACCGAGATCGAAGTAATGTAGGTATCAAGCGATTGGCCAGCCTGGTTGCACCGGAACAGCGCATTGTAGAGGGACTGGCGGCTCTGCAGCAGCGCGGTGAGCTCCGCGGAAGTTACAGACTGGCGGCGTCCACGCTCCGTCGAGGCAGTGACGTCGTGGATGGTCGCAGCGCCTTCGACGCTGGCCCTGCGTACAATGAGCGGATGGAAAGACCTATTCAACGGCAAGCTCTCACCGCAAAGAGTGAGTATCAAAAACGCGCGGAAGCCCGCCAATCTTGATTTGGTTGAGGCCGGTCTTGACCGGGACCGTGTAGCACCGGGTGACCTCCGCGCGCGAAGGATACAAGGTGACGCCAACGATCACGCTGTCTCTTGCAGAGTTGAGCTCAATAGAACTCGGAGGCTCAAAGGCAGGGGGAGGGTGGTCGGCGCTCATGGTGGACGAGGGCAAGGGGCAGTGCGGGGCTGTTGCCTCTATTATAGTGTTCGGGCGCTTCATTTGACAGCTTCTTGATATGGAGATGCACACGCAGATTCTTATCTGCGGAGCATGACTGGATTATCGCAATGACTCATGCTCGCCGTCCACGAATAGACTCTAGAGGGGCGGACCCGATCGTCTGACTAAGCGGAAAGCAGCTCCTCCTACATGTTGCATCGAACGAATGCATCCTACGCACTGTTGGCCGCCTTCCACAGCATCCTTTGTCACTACCCAGACCGGGTGTTACCTCCGGACTCGGAGTCGATTCTTGGTCGATTCGCTGGCAATTGCGGTGCGCGCTCGACGACCCTGGACAAGGGGGTGCCGGACTGTGAATGCCGGACCCCGACCTGGTAGGTTGGTCCGGCCGCGAGGCCAAAATTTCAAAACTGGGAGTCATTTATTTTTGGCAGGAAACACCTCAGGAAGGTCTCCTGG